ACCTTGCCATTGTTATTTGAATTATTAAAACTTTTAAAAATTATAAAATATATTTATAATAGATCTTAATAAACGCAATAAATTTATGTGAATTGAGTATCGTAAAATATTTGAAATTGTTCCATACTCATTGTTATTGAGGTGATTAAAGAATAATATGTTTTCAAAAAATTATTTTAGGTTATTTTTACTTGTTTAAAATTTTATTTTTTCTATGACAAAAAATGTGATATTATTTGAGTTGTTATAATCAGTTCAAGTGGTGAAATTTGAAATATATTTTATCATCTTTTAAAATGGTTGGAAGATATTGTGAAGGTATTCATATATTTCTTTTGCTAAGATCATGCTTTTTAATGCAAATAGAGTTTAAAATAGTGATAAGGGAGATTTTATTAGCAAGCATATTTTTAGGTAGAGATAATATATTGTAAAAAACTATGAGGTGACTTTTGTAACACTCCACCATAAAATTTAACTTCATCTTTTTTAAGTAATTAAAAAAGGACAAAATGCTTAAAAAACTTAAAGATAAGTGCTTCATTGTGAAAGAGAATACTGACTATCATTTACATTGTAAAAAAAGAAAATACAATAGATATGATGCTATTATATAAACACTTAAAATATAAATATCTCTTTTAATAAATTCATGACTTTTAATGATAATACTTTTGAAGACACACTTGATAAATACAAATATAACTTTTTTTTATTTTTTATAAACTTATAGTTTTTAATAATGGTACTTTTGAGACCATGGATAAATATATAATATCTCTTTTTATGGATTCATAGTTTTTAATAGTTGTTGAATATTTTATCGTATATTGTTTATAATTTTAAAGATATAATATGTACCGTGGAGTATTATTTTCCTATTCTTGTCTCTTCTATTTCTTTTTTCTATATTTTATATTATATTCAAATGGAACCTTAATTTTGATTATTATTTTTTAGTTATTTTTCTTTAATATATTTTTTCATTCTTATTCTCAATTACGTAAGTACTTGATATTTGATCATTCAGACAAAAAGAAAAGATAAATTAATTTTTTCATTATTAGTGTGTGTAAATCTTGTTATTTCACTAAAAATGTTTTGTATAACTATAATTTATTACCATATTTTAAAATTATTTTTATTTATTTTAATTTTATATTTTTTAAACTTTTTGTACTTCTAACTTTAAAATTTTCTCTTATTATTACATATTTAATATTTTTTTAAGTAACTTTTGATTTTTTTTACTAAACACATTCTTAACACAAATAAAAATTATTTAATAATATTATTAATGAAATATAAATATTTAATAAAAAAAATCTCTCTTTATATATATATATATTTAAAATATTTTATTAAAAGTGTGACATGATATTTTCTCTTATAATTTTTTTAAATTGTTTAAATTCATTACTTTGTTTATTTATTTTATCTATATTTTAAATTTTTAAAGCTATTCCTTTATTATTAGATATTTTATACTTGTAATAATTAAATTAATATAAAAAATTTAAGATACCAAATAATTAATTATATTTTATTAAACTATACTAAATATAAATAGAAATAATTAATGTTATAAACAATATGATATAAATAATTTATAATATAAAAAATATTAAATATATGATAAATTCATGCATCATGCAAACTTTCAATTTAAAATACGTTTTTAATGTTGATTCCTACTTTGCTAGTCTCATTCAACCGTTTAATCTTTGTTCAATTAGACAGACAATTTCAAAGGCAAAACAATATACTATGATAAAACTATTCCCTTGAGTGACGCAAGTCCTAAATCTAAATGCTTGACCTTCTCAAAGTCATAAAGACGTACGCAACAAGGAAAGTCAAATCAACAACCAAGTCAAACAAATAATTATAAGCAAATTTAAGATATTCTTCTGAGACTATATTTTTGTCATTGATATTGGAGGAATAGAATCATTCAGACCCTTATTAATCTTTTAATAATTAGGAGAATTTATAAATATAAACATACAAAATAGTTAAATAATATTTTTAACATTTAAAAATAATAAATAAATAAAAATACTTTTTTTAAAATATCAAAGAAAAAAAATTAAACCGAGGGAGTAAAAAAGATATATCTCCTTCGGTTCCATCACTTTTAACTCTATTAATTGTTAAAATTAGGAAGAACCGTAGGACATGTTATTACCACAATTATATCTAATAATTGATATATTATATAATTAAATATTTTGTTTTTCCTTCTGTAAGATTTCTCCATATTTTAGTTATAGTAATCTGCTTATGTAAATTAAATAAGAAAATTGTCAACAAATATCCTTACCGTACTTGTTTATAATACTTATTAGCAACGTGTGTTCAATAAAGTTGCATAGCTTAAAACACATTCAAAACAAAAATAATTTAAAAATCGGTTTTTTTTTTAAAGAAAATAGTTGACAGACACTCATTGAAGCATATATATCTAGAAAGATAAATAAATAGAAGAGAGAGAGAGAAATTGTTATTCTAATTTTTAGAGAAAAAAGAGTAATGTATTAATTTAACTTTTAAAATTATAAACATACGTTATGAAATATAGTTTTTCAGATCCTAAACTTATTAAAAATAATTTATTTTAGTCCTTAAAATTATAAAATTGAACATTTTAATTACTAAAAATATTAATGTTTATCAATTTAGTTCTTAAAATTATAAAAAAATTATTATTTTAATTCTTAAAATTACAAGTATCGTCTAAAATTATAACCTTTAATTTAGTCATTCAAATTATGAAATAAATTTTTCTTTTTTAACTACGAAGTTAATATTTCAATATCAGGTTCACACTTAATTTATCAAATCTAACACGTTGTTACACAGATTTGATGGAAATTAGTCTAAGGGAGTAAGTTTTTATTTAATATGTAAGTTTAGTTTAGCTTTTTTTTTTAATTTATAATTTTATGGAAACAGTACCTATAATTTCACATTTTAAATAATTAATTTTTTAGGGACTTAAAAATTTCATTTGACATTTTCAAAGATTGAATTGAATTGTTATAATTTTAATGTTAAATTGAATGGTTCTTATAATTTCATTAACCAATTTTTTTTTATTTTAAAAATTAAATTGACAGATATATAATTTTAAATATTAAAATAAATGATTTTATTATATCAATGATTAAGATGGTTGATTTATAATAATTTCAACGACTAAATTTTTTTCATAACTTTAAGGATTTAAATTGGTAGTTATCTATAATTTTCGTGACTAAAATAATGTATTATTTTTTAAAAATATTACTTAAATTTTTATTTTTATTATATTCTTCGTTTATTATATTAATTAACATCGGTTAGTAGGAAAAAAACAAGATATTTTCATAATCAGACACTGTTTTTTTTATCATTTAAAGTACTTCGTAGGAATTAAAAAATGACTAGTATCCTATTTTTTTTTATAAAATATTTAACTTTTTTTTATCATATCCCTTATTTATTATTAATTAATAGAAAATATTAGCTTTGGCTATTAAGGTTGAAGATAAAAAAAATTAAAATAGTAAATTGTTTTTAAAATAAATTATTTATTATTTTAAGAATATAAAAGTATAATAAATTATATATATCTTTAATAAAATTTAATATTTATAGATACTTAAACTTAATTCTAAAAATTGAGATTAAAATAATTGTTAATCAACACGAGTTAGTAAAGAAAGATAGGTATTTTTAAAAGAAAGAATATTTCTAAATTTTCATAACTTTTATTTTGGGAAATATTTCTAATTATAAATAAAAAGTATTATATATGTATATATTTATGTTTTCTATAGATAATAAATAAATACAATTTTTTATTTAATATTTACTTTATAAAGAAATAAGAGAAAATAACGACCTGTTACTTTTTTTTTTATTATAATTAGAGTTTTATATTAGTTATTATGTTTGAATGAGATAAAATTTATTATGAGTAGTTTTTTTAATATTTAATAAAATTGTTTTATTGAGATTCAAACTTGAAATTAAAAATTAACTTAAACAAACCTCTTATGAGATCTTCGAACTTTACAGTAATAAAATAAATTTTTTAAAGTGTAAAAAAAATGAAAAATAATGTAATTTGATGAGAAAAAGAATATTAAATAAGTGTTATTATTTGACTGGACTTAACTGCAAGGAAGTTGAAAGCCACAACCACGCTTTCACGCTCGTTCAATATATTATTATCATTTACAACAAAAAGAGTTCAATTTAATTTTTTCTTTTACTTTTACAGATGAACAGTATTTGTTAATACACACCATCCCTTTTTGTCTTAAATTATGACATTAAAAATATTTGAAGCCAACGAACTCTCTTAACCTACCATTCTTTCAAGGTAATGGAGTCTCTAAGCCTGGGTTGCAAATTTAGTTACAAACAATGAAATAAAATAAAATATGATTGAATTTAACTTAAAATCTTATTTATTATTGAAATATTTTATAAAATAATATTAATTATGTCAAGTACTTTTAAACAAAAAGGAAAAGAAGAAATGAGATGAAATCTATTTTATAAATTATTGTTTTAGCAATTTAATTAATGAAACATAATAAAAATACACACATTCTTTTATTTAATGTTTATTTTATAAAATAGTAAAAAAAATATTAAGAGAATAAGTAAAAGAATACAGCAAAATTTTGTGATATCCTTTTATTTATTATTTTATAAAGTAAATGTTATATATATATATATATATATAGAAATTATTTAATTAATTTCATATAACAATTGAAAAATTAAAAAGAATAAAAAAAATTAGAATTATTCCTAATTGAAAGATAGTCTAGTCCTTCTTTCCAAATAAAATTATAGCTTGGTTGGGTCACTTCACTTGAAAAGCGTTAGGCAAAGGAACACGCAGAAGGACCACACAAAGACCCGGTTCGGTTCAGCGTATCCGGTCCAATCTATCCCACGCAACGGTTCAGTGACATAGCTTACTCCGATTTTGTTTTTCTTTCCTTCTTCATACTCTCTCTCTCTTCTCTTCTTATCTTGTTTCTCTCTCTTCTCGCGCATAGTTTCTCTCTCTTTCTTAAGACACACCGAACAATCCGCGACGGAGGCTCCGACCCGAACCGGACGAGTTGAGTCCAGCTCCTAGCACGTTCTCGTGCTTCTGCCTCGGTCGCATTTCGCTCCCATTCTCCCAGATTTTCTTCTTCTCGTTTTCGCCATTGACGCTGAATCTGTAAGTGCTCGATTCCCATTCCATTTATCTATCGATTGATGGCACAATCGTTGTAACTGAAGCTCCGAATCGTTCTCTTTTTCTCCTTTTCTTCGGCTGAGTTCTTATTTCAATTTCTATTTGTATGTTTTGAACTATCGAGGCCTTGGTTGCTACAATAGGGTAATTTCAATGTTAATGTCAATTTCTGGGGGCAGATTTTTAATTTTTTTTATTGTCTTATTAGGTTTGGGATTTTAGGGTTCTGAAGTTTCTGCGTCTGATTCTGTTGGATGTTGATTTGGAGGAGAGGGAAAGATACAGAGGGTTAGGGTTTTCTCGAAAGCATTGATTTTTATTTGGGAAATAAGAGGATATATTTGAGACAAGAAAGAAGGTTAGTGTTAGAGGATAATGTGTATACTGTGTGTGATTCAGAAGTGGTCTCGCCGGGTTGCTACAATGCTACCTTGGTTGGTTATTCCGTTAATTGGTCTCTGGGCGCTTTCTCAGCTTCTGCCGCCGGCGTTTCGGTTTGAGATCACTTCGCCTCGTCTGGCTTGTGTATTTGTGTTGTTGGTTACTCTCTTTTGGTATGAGATTTTGATGCCTTGGTTGTCGGCTTGGCGTTTGCGGAGGAATGCTCGGCTTAGGGAGAGGAAGAGGTTTGAGGCCATTGAAATGCAGAAGTTAAGGAAGACAGCTACGAGGCGGTGCCGCAACTGCTTGAGTCCCTACAGGGATCAGAACCCTGGTGGGGGTCGGTTTATGTGTTTTAATTGTGGTCATGTTTCCAAGAGACCAGTTTTAGATTTGCCTGTTCCGCCAGGGTTGGGGATTTCAAATTCCAGTATAGTTAAGGAGTTGGTTGGAAAAAGTGGTAAGATATTAAATAGCAAGGTTTTGTCTGAAAATGGGTGGATGTGCAGTCAGGATTGGCTGGAGAACAGCAATTGGGTTGGTGGGTCTATTCCAGGTAATCCTAGCAACTGGAGGACAAATGAGAATGCTGGTCTTTTTGGAGGAGATGAGCATTGTTTGACAGAGAGGTCATATTGCGGTATTTTGTTTTTTGTTTGCAAGCTTTTGACATCTTTTTTCTTGAGCATTAGATGGCTTTGGAGAAAGACTTTTAGAGTTAGTTCAAGGGAAGAGTGTTCGTCTGATGCTGAACATAGGGCACTCTTGGCAAAACGGGGTGAGAATGGGGCAAGCCTCGATGAAAGTAGAGGGGAAAAAGCACGCAGGAAAGCTGAGGAGAAAAGGCAGGCTAGGCTAGAAAAAGAACTTTTGGAGGAGGAAGAAAGAAAACAGAGGGAGGAGGTTGCAAGATTAGTGGAGGAACGTAGGAGGCTGAGAGATGAGAAAGTGGAAGCTGAAAAAGACCACAGCAGAGCATCAAATCTCAGTAAAGAGAAAGAGAGAAGGAAGGAAGCTGAAAGGAAGCGTCAGGAAAAAAGAAAAGAGAAAGATAAGGGGTCTAGTAAGAGCAACTCTGATGTAGAAGAATTAGAAAGAAAAGCTGGCAAGGAAAGTGAACGGAAGCGGGACCTTGACAAAAAGAGTGAAATGGATCGTAGAGAGCATCATAAATCTGGGTTAGAGAGTGGCAAGGGACAGGGTACTGACAATGCACATAATAAAAATGCCACAGCAAACAATTATAATCGAGGAGGTACTGGAACAAGGTATCTTGACCGCATGAGGGGTACAATTTTGTCCTCTTCAAAAGCGTTTGGTTTTGGAAGAGGTACTAATATTCCTGCCACTGTGGTGAAAGAAAACAAGTTTAACAGTTCTGTAGATCATGTTCATACTGCTGCTAGCAGGAGAGAAATAGGTCCTCCTGAGCGTCCAACTGCAAAATCCCATTTGAATGGAGATGATAGGAATATCAATCACTCTGTAAGTTGTCTTGCTTTCTATTTCCTTTTCCTTGCCTTTTTATGATCCCATTTTAACAGGTTTTGTCGAAGTTTCAGTTGTGTTGGAGATTTATGAACAGAAAGATACAATCCTCTAGTTAATATTAATTGCTTGTTATATATGGTTATCATAAATTCATTTAAGAAAATTTACTAAGAAAACAGTATTTCCATGATAATTGTTCCCTGCAGGTACTCCCTGAACCACAGCCATGGACAGCAACACCAAAAAAGTCATGGCAGCAATTATTTACTCGATCTTCATCTGTTCCTCAATCTTCAAATTCAAACGTAATATGTAGACCAAATTCCAAAATTCAGGCAGAAGTGAAAAGTCCTCAGTTATCTGGCCAGACGCCGGTTACACAATCATTTACTAATCCAATTCAGTTTGGTCTTCCATCACCATTTGATATTTCTACCTATCCAAGTGGATCAACAAGTAGTAGTTTAGGTTTTTCTCCTCCTATTGAACCATTTTTTTCCCCAGTTGGAAATACATCACATGACTTTAGACAAGATGAGCAAGAGCTTTTTGAAGACCCCTGTTATGTTCCAGATCCGGTATCCTTGCTTGGGCCTGTTTCTGAGTCCCTAGATAATTTTCAGTTGGACTTAGGAACTGGCTTTGGGACAGACAATGAAGTGGCAAAACCTCACTCTTTAAAAAACATATCTCCTGCTTCTGATGTTAGTAAGCCATCTCCAATTGAGTCCCCATCATCCCGAGAAAAGCATGGCTGTTCTAATTGGTTTCCTAGTACCCCCAAGGGCCAAGAAAAGCATGGTTTTCCTCTGGATGATGCAGCTGCAAATGAGAAGGGAACATGGCAGATGTGGAGTACTTCACCACTTGGGCAAGAAGGTTTAGGTTTGGTTGGTGGCCCAGGAAGCTGGCTTTTATCCTCACAAAGGAACATACAAAACAAGGATGATTTTATGCTTCCGTCATCTCAGAAGACTATGGCTTCTCTTTTTAACAAAGAAGATAATATAATATCTGGTACCCATTCTCCACAAAATGTTTTTCTTCCTAATGGTCAAACTGGCGGGAACTTCAGCCCTGTTACAGGATCAAGTGGTTATGATCCGTGGTTACAGAGTGCTCTCTTCCCACCATTATCAGTTGGCCTTGCAGCTCAGGAGGGAGCTACTCAAAATGAAATTATATATGGTAGTCCTAGTGGATCTGCTAGCAGCCATGTGCTTGAGGGTTCTCCGGCTAACTGTTGGTCCATGTAAGTAATAACTGTTTATTTTTATATTGTATTTCTAATTTTGATTACCTACTGCATTTTGTTTTTCTGAAAAATTTAGATATAAAGATTGATTGGTAATGTGATTGTTAGTGGGAATGCTTTGAATCTTTCTATTTCTGTTGAGGCTCAGTCATGTGGTATCTTTCTTGTGGGGAAAATCTTCTATTTCTGTGGTGAAAATTCATTTTTAATGTATTTAAAATGAGTGATGGAACTGTAATGTAACTGCACTTGCTTTCTATCTATAAGCAATAATTGTAATATTTTACTCTACATGTAATATTTGTATTACATCTGACGAGTAAAATAATTACAGTACAATGGCACATGTGTAAATATTTATGCCATTTTGAACAGATTAGATTGAATCAAATTTTATTTCTTCCTCACAGAAAAGAGGCTTGTAAAGAAGATTTGGATACATGTTTTAAATAATCATGAATTGCTTTTGTCGCATGTTTGGTAATAATTGGACTGTTTGACTGGAGGTAAATACTTCAAAAAACTGTGTTCGTCAACACCAGCCTATGTTTCATCAGAGATGAATCAGGAATAACTGATTGAATATAGATAAAAGATGAGATAAATTGACATGGACGCTCTCTAGGTATATAGCATCACTGCTTTTATCAGATTCACATAATTTTATCTTTTTTGTTGTCCATGAACCACATAATTATGTGTATGAAAGGTTATTTAATTGTTTGATTGGAATGAATCCTGTGCTGTTGGACATCTTTGGATGCATGGTATATAACCAAATAAATTGTTAAATAAGCTACAAATTGTACCATTTTTATGGTGTTTCATTCTGTAAAAGTGGATTTACTTGATAGTCCATTGATTGTGTAGATTCATCTGTATGATCATATGATGATTTATTTATTTATGACACGAACGGGTATGTATTGGTATGGGACAAGATGTGATTCAATTGTTGGTGTCAGACAGTATACTTGTAATGTTTTTTCGTCTGTTCTGCTGTTTGATTGAGTCATGAAATGGTATGTGAGAATCTTCATTAATAAGTTCTGGTTGTAAATCAATTTGATAATCCTTTCTAAGTATAGCTTTATAAATATACCAGCCGCTAAATTGTCATAAACTGCTGACTTGTTGAACCAGAAAAAAAAAAGAGGAAACAAACTGGTTGAACAAATAATAATAATAATAATAATAATAATAAAGAAACATATCCGTATGGAAGTGACAGTAAAAGGAGAATCTCCTTTTGTACCTATTGTAAAATTATGGCAAAGTCTAGATGCGATGCAAAGTCTTTTGGGCTTTTCGTGACCCTTTTGACATGACCCTTGTACTGACAGTCTTGGATATGTTCTTTTTCCTTGATTCTGTGACCTGTGGTCCCCCTCAAATAAATTTTAGTGTTAATGTTTTGTAGACGGTTGAAACTGTTGTTCTGACCGTTTTTTTTTTTTTTTTCTTATGATGTGGGTCTTTTTATCTTTTATTTGTTTAAATGGAAAACTCAATTGTTTTCAGTGGTAGTTTTAACAGGGTTGGGTTTTTGTTTACTTTACAGGAAGGAATGGCCTGTACATGGTTCTGTGGAAAGCGTTGGGAAGTCACCAGTTTCAAGGCCCTATAATGGAGGTCTACATCCAACCTCAGATGTACAGTCATTTTGGTCATTTGATTAAAAAAAAGGTGATAGTGACAGGTTATGTGGACTTGATAAACCCAACTGTCCTCGAGGCAAATAGCCTCCTTTGGGGGAAGAGTTTAGAATACTGAACCCATTGTATCTTCCTTCTTTTCCAAGGAAGATTGATGTTTACTTAACGTTAGCGTCAATAGGAATACATGGAATACATGTTGGATGCATTATGAGCAAGGCATCAAGAGAGGTGCCCCCCATTTTGACGTCAATTTGTCCTTTGGAGAATGGTGCTTCACATTCCCACTTGTGTCACTGTTCAAATATGCAGAGCAATTGATGTCTTAATGAGAAATGAACTGACACTAACATGACCCTCTGCCAATGATATATAGTCTTTCTTCTGTATGTCTCATTATTATCAGTTGAGCTGCATCTTTGATCGCATTGTGCACAAAGTTGGCTGTGATCTGACCCAGTTTTAATATAATCTTAGCTTTAATTGCCTGGTAGCAGACGTTTCAGTTTGGTTAGCGTGGGGGCACCCCGTAATGGTATTGAGGAGAGCATAATTTTTCAACCTGACGTTATTAAACTGAATAATTTTTCCATCTATAATTAAATAAGGGGCACATAATAGATATAAACATGTTAAATATTAACCTTGTCCCATATGCAATAAAAATGATAGGTGTTTATTCTCAATTTAAATTGTCTATCATTATTTATAATGTTTTTTTATTTAAACAATATTATTTTATAATATTTTATGTAAAAACCATTTAAAGAGGATTTATAATGACATTTTAAAGTGGTAATAGGCTCAGTTAACTAAATGATTAGGAAAAAAAAATGGACATTTGCATCTTCAATATTTTAAGAAAAATTTAAAGTAAAAAAAAAAAAAAGATATAAAGGAACATTTTATTTTATTTTTATCTTCCATAATTTGGTCATTTTTTATTACTAATTCGTGAGTTTTTGTTTTTTTTTTTGTTAAATATTAATATTTTATTAAGAATATAAGAAACAATCTAATTTATTGCCACTTTAAAAAGAATTAATAATACATGTTAAAAAATTAAATCATACTATTAAAACTTCTTCGTATAAATTTTATTTATACCAAAGAATAATCAATAATTATCATATTTAATTAGGAGTTTTATATTCTCACAATATATTTGTATTATATCTTTTCTATTTTTGTTTATCACATTTTAGTACCTCTTTTGTTTTCTTTTCTTATTTTTTTTATAATCTATCTCTATATATAAAATGTGAGTCATAAATTTTAAATGGAAGTATTTCTAGGAAGTAATTTTCTTTCTTATTATGCTACATGATTTGTCTTTTAATAAATATTTATTTTTTAATTAAATTTTAAAAAAGAGTGATAATAAACTCAGTTAACTAAATGTTTTGGAGAAATAAAATGAACATTTAAATCTTTAATATTTTAAGAAAAAATTTAAAGTACAAAAAGATATAAAAAAACATTTTATTTTTATCCTCTATAATTTGGCCATCAAAGATTTGATTACTAATTCGTAAGTATTGGTACAAATTTTATTCATGTAAAATAATAATTCTCATATTTATTTGAAGATATAATATCTTATTAATAAATTATTATTTTTTATATTGTGTCACATATTTGATGACTTCTCTTTTCTTCTTTTCTAATTTATATCTATATATAAAATATAAGTTATAATTCTTAAACAAAAAGTATTTTTAGGAATAAGTTTTTTCTTATTATGCCACATGGTTTATCTTTCAATAAATATTTTTATTTTTTATTTGAAATTATTTCTTAAATTTTATTTAATATAATAAAATATTTATTATTAATAGTTAAAATACATTAATATTTATAAAATTTTAGAAATCATATTTAAAAATATTCATGCAATAAGAATACAGCACGGATTTCAGAAAATATAAAAAGAGAGTTCCGACCTGCCGGATTCGAACCAGCGACCTAAGGATATCTATTTGGTAAGCACCCAACTACAGTCCTCCGCTCTACCAACTGAGCTAAGGTCGGCTTGAAGTTTGCCTTTCAAAAAGTAGTTATTACCGATTATTAGTCGAATACCACTTCGACTAAGCTCCCTTTCATAAAGTTTTCAATAAATATTTGTAAAAGTAAAAAAATTAAACAATAAAATAAATCAAATTTTGTTATAAGTTAAAATCAACTGATACTTTATTTTTTAAGAAATTCTCTCGTTTGATTTCTCTAATGCATAAGTCATAAGTTGCAAAACAAATTCCATTATTCAATTGCAATGTGACTTTATGGAACATAATTGAAAAATACATTGCTTTATTTATTATGATGTCTTCAAATTCTAGTATGAAATTAACAGTTTGCTTCATAAATCATAGCAGATTAAACTCGATATCTTTTCTGAACTCTGCATGAAGACACTATCCCTGAGCTTTAGAGTTTTGTTAGCTAGAAAATGAAGTTGTTCAGCGTTGAGATGAACCACAAATGCAAAAGTTAGTTCAATACAAGTCAAAGAGTACACGACAATGCTTGAGATATTCCAAAATGTCAAAATCATGTATTGACATTAAGATTAGTGAATAGACTATTAAAATATAAAAGCTATTTTACTATAATGTCAAGTTTATGGTAAATTTTTCAGGGACGTTATTTTCATAATTTCGACTGGTTAAAGCTTTGATTCATTAATCAAAACATTTAGCAGTCGAATCAGAAAATATATTGACATTACAGTTGAAATTTAAGAAACCAAGCTTAGAACTTCACAAGATTGCCAACAGTGAAAGGACTTGACAGTTTTCCATCAATTTTTTTTTTTTCACTTTTTTCTATTCTGCCTCTTCTAAATCAATTTTTTCTTTTTTAGAGTCAAATTCAATACACAACTTTTTTTCACTTTACTAAACCAAGACCCATTTTTCCAAAAGTAAAAGAAAAAAATGAAGAACAAAAATGATTCTTAGTTTATCACTATCCAGATATCCCTTAATATTTACAGTTCAATCAAGCTCGCCATCTTCTCTGCCAGAAAAAACTTGTTCCTGCTCTTGACAATAATCTGCCATCAATAGCAAATATTCCAAGACATTAGAACTCGGAAAAGGATCCCCTCATGTTGGAAATCGAACATGAGGGTCATGTTGGTGTAAATTTGTACGCTCGCTTAAGCCAGCAAAATTTTGCTTAAGCGAAATTACAAATTTACACCAACATGACCCTCATATTCGATTTCGAACATGAGAGGATCCGGATCCTTAGAACTCAGAAGATATATCGCATGACACACCATACCATTCACTATTAGTAGCTCTGAAGTCCAAACCCAACCCCAAGAAAATGCACACAATCACAAGCAACAAAAGTTCCAGTTTATTTTTGTAGTCACATCATATGCAACATCAGCAATATATGACTCAGAACAAACTCTACATGAAGGATTTCATTGTTGTAATTAGGAAAATACCAGTCATACACCTGATATCTGATAATTGACGGAAGAAAGAAAAATGAAAGTAGACAATGATATTGTATTGTTATTGTTATACTCCTAGTCCGGAAATTACAACATTTATTGAAAAGGTAGTTGAAATAGAGTCACTTCCATACCGTTGTTGATTTTTCCTGAACTCAGTAAGCACTGCATATATGTTCTCAAAGGCTGTGTAAGTCTCATCTCTCACATCATAAAGAAATGGAAATGAAAACATCATTGTTTAAATCAGCCAAAAAAATGGTAAATATATAAAATTACATGGGAAGTTCTCAAGACCATTACCTTGGCTCCTGTAAAAGAAGTTTTTCCAAAGACAAAGATGAGAAAGACAATCTTGGGTTGCTTCAAACAATAGATTAGTCCTGGAAAGAGTTCTGGTTCTACTACCAGAGGAACAACCAAGTTCAACATATGTTCATCATTCCCTAACCCTAAACATCTAAAATATTAATACAGAATGAAACTAAGAAACCAACTGCACATGTACAGACACAAGTTAAAATGGCCCTTTACCACACAGAATCGTGGCAAAAAATACTCCCCACACAGTTCTTCCAGTTATAATTTTAAAAATTTTCAGAAGCTTTAAAACGTATAAGTATCTGCAAAGTGCATTTGGCAATGGATAGGTAGGGTCAACACAGCTCCTAAATACAAATTCAATAAATCTGGATTTGAGATTGTTAGTTTGTCATGGAATTCAGGAATGGTTTTTGCATCTGTATTAATTAAATCTGTGTTTTCCATAGTTTGCACCTGTTGTACTGGTACCTCTTATGAAATACAGTTTTTCAGTATAAAATAAATAATTGACATCAGGTATATAATAAATCAAATTAAGTAATACGACACCAAACACTGAGATGTGATTGCTTAACAACAATTGTGCAATGATAACTATTTTTAATATAAACCTAATCACAAGAATAAAGGGTCCATATTAATTTAAAAATAAAAGACTCATAAGTCATGTAAAACATGCTGTAGAATAAACCCATGTTCAAGAGGTCGTCAAGACCATTTTTCCATGAAATTCACCAAGAAAAACAGAAAGTGATAACTACATTCCCACTTACACTTGAGAAAGCACCATGGGAATATGCAATACCCTCAAGCCACATGGGGAACTTGACATCACAAGAGCCAACAATGTTCTGAATCTTAAATCCTAAAGCACAACATAAAAGGCATAAATCAACAATCATGCTTTTGAATAATTAGTACCTTAAATTTATTTTGGAAACCAACTCAAACAATTTAGGAGTAGATGCAGTACCTTAAATTTAGCTGGGAAACCAAGCTTTTGGATAATTCTAGCATACTGAAAAAGGAAATAATAAAGTAAAAAATGTTATAAATTTTCAAGAATAAATGTGTTGATCATGCTTATATATAAGTGAAGAGAACAATAAAACAATCCATTGTCCTCCATTGGTTTGAGGAGCTTATTTTTCTACAAAGAACAGGATGAACAGACTTCAAACCAAGCTAACACTAATGGCAAGGTTTTCCTGTCTAACCAACCTCACTTGAGAAATTTCAACAATATACAGAGTGGATGAACTTAGATAAGGGGGAAAAAAAGACCATTAGCATACCTTCCTTGCTGCCAATTTAGACTGTTGCTCACTTTTAGTGCCAGTACAGACCAAACCATGCCAGTTAAATTGAAAAACTAACATAAGAAACAAAATCCCATTCCAAGCAAATGCTAAATCAATTTGTCTTTGCAAGAAATAGAAAACCTTCGAAAAAATAAAAGATCCTAATGTTAATTCAGCAGCCACATTATAAGCACCTATAATCGTAAACTAGTGGAAAATGGACAAATCTGAATTATAAAAAATAGCATTCAATTGGCATTAGTGTCCAAATACTTGTTCGCTAATCATAGTAGTTGACAAGAAAAGGAAATTCAATAACAGAAGCAGACAACTACAAATTAATGTACAACCTCTACAAGTTATTTTGATACAAACACATAAAACAACAATAAAATGAACATGACAGGAACATGGCTGTCAAATTGCAAATTGCAAGGACAATTTTCTGAATCATGAATCAGAACGTATCATGACTTGTAAGAATCATGATAAATTATTCAACATAGAACAACATATTTTTCACATAATGAAACTATAGATATTTCCAAAAATTTGGCTTTTTGACTGAACCTGGTGGTGTTGTATGATCCATGTAACCAACTTCACCTAGTAGGATAAGAATTTGTTATTTGTTTGCTTGTTTGTATAATGAAACTATAGAAATATGTACACAGATAGAGTTGAGTTGTTTCTTTACATCCTTTTTTTGTGCAAAGCATCAATCAATCAGTATTAGTGGTGGAACTGCATGAATCTATTGAGATTCATACAATCCCAACACTAAACTGGACAGAAGTACCAGATAAAACAAAAGGAACATACCATCTTGCCAGATGCAAAAACGAGTGCAGTTGTTTTCGGTTCCCTGATCCTCATAATCACAGCAGCAAAACGCTGCAAAGATTTCAAATCACAGACATAAGCACTGCAGACAAATAACCAATTAGCATAAAGACATATCTAGCATGTAAATTAATTATTGATTTCAGGTAACAGTAGTGTAGTGGATAAGTAGTTGACAACTTGACATCAATAGTAACATTAATAGAAAATCATGGATCAACCAAGCCTCACTGGACCAAATAGTAACACTGCAAATTTTTCTAAGCAAGAGAAAGAACTCCACAACTGAATGGAAACCAAGCCAACCTTCATTGTCCTTGCAAAGCGGAAAGCATTAAAATATATTCACAGAGAGAATGGTTAGAATTCACAATCAACACGCAAAACTTGCCTTGGGATTGTATTCTGCATTACGAGCTTGAAGTGCAATTGATTTAAGCTCCAACTCAGTCCAAATTGACTGTTGACACGATATTTCTAGCAGTATAAATTACACTTTTAGATATTCCAATGCAAATATAAGCAAACATTATCTAATCTGATTAATATTAACATAAAGTTTACACAAGCATGTTGACCATATAATTTGAGCTCATCAAACATGGAATACACCACCAGGAATTCCATAATGAAGTATAATTCCCCTCAGTTATGAGCATGCTCCTCAAAACTCAATCACTTAGTTCAGATGGCTGAAGTTCTTAATTGCACTAAAAATATTCATAATATTTAGCAAATTGGAATTTGGATGCTCTGACAAAAGTGGGAAACAGGACTGATCTGATCATATACAGGTCAATCTTAAGCAGGACAGTTTCTGTTCAGAAGAAATAGTTGCTATTGGAATACAAGTAAATAATATATTGACCAAGAGAGCTTCTTCAGCCCAAATAACCCGTCTGATCCTCCGCACATATAACCGCAAGCTGAATTTGTAGAACAGCATAAGCCATCAGAAAAAGAGTTAATTTTATTATCTTTGCAAGTTTTAATCTCAATATCAAAGACAGGGGATCACTTGGATTTGGATAACTTTTCTTTATTACAAATGAGCAAACACACTGGCCATAACTCAGACTCTCACATCACTCATTGCAGACAGCAGCACAGTTATTCATGTCATGGTTGCTAATGCAATCCAACAGGTGGGTATTGTGTAAACTAGTAAGGAAGCATTCACTTGAAGGAAAAGTGATACTCACTGAAGGGTAGTCACAATCCCAGAAGGGTGCTTTGTTAAATCCACAGGTTGGCTCCCTTCAAATCCTTGTTCAGCCATGAATAATCAATCCTATTTAACTTTATTCTCTATGCTGTGCTTCAAAAATACCACGTTCCACAGTAATACAAAAGCCTTCACCTTTCCTTACAAAAGTAGCAAAATGCAAATAAACCAACAAAAGAACCCTTTTTGAAGAGAATCCGGATCTCAGATGATTTCATACAGGGACGCAAGTTTATTTGAAAAAAGGGTTGTAGAACAGTATCTCTTTTAAGGAAAATAAAAAAACAAAATAAAAGTGATGAAAATTCTCCCACGATCAGATTAAAAATGCTAACAAGAAATTGGGGGAAAATTCGGGAATGATGAATTAAATTTTATTGATAAGATTGACGTGGGAATCAAACCTTTATTGTTTGTTTTTAGAGAGAGTAGCAGCGAGAGTCAATAAGAACAAAGGTTATTTATTTATAAATTTTTGTTAACCTTCATTTTTAAGGCTCAATATAAACAATTTATTAATAATAAAATTTTATTAAAAATATTGATTATATTTTTATAATTTTAATATAATAATTATTTTTTTATGAAATTTTTTTATTTGTAAATACTCAAATTCAGTTTTAAGAATTAAAGTTAATAAAAAATTTATTTATTTATAATTTTTAAAAACGGAATAAATTGTTGAGTTGAATGGAATGAAATTGAAGAAGATAAGAATAACAGAAACGAATTGATGTAATTTAAAACCTTTTATACAATAACCATCACTTTTCTACGATTTTGTTCATCGAAATGTTTTTGGATAAAATTACATATAAAAATAAAAAAATTTAATAAAAAAAATACAATATTTGTTGTAGTTTATATATTTGTAAAGTAATAAATAATTTTTAATAAAAAATTATTATTTAATTATTTATCTTCAATTTAAAAATTGCCATTAGAATTTTTTTAATAAATGTAATTAATCAATATTGTAAAAGACACATTAAAAAAATTAATTATGTTACTAAAAATAACAAAAAATGTGTAAGTAAAATACATATTTAAAATAGGTATTTCACAAGGAATGGAATAAAAACATTTCCTAGTCATGGTTGCTCCCAACATTTTTTATCGAGGACAAGATTATGCATTATGACTTGACTATACACTGACTGATTAAAACCATAGTAAAATAATATAAGGTAAATACAAATTTAATATCTATAATTAATATTCATTTATGAATTAGACCTTTTATATAAAAATCTCATACGAGTATGCATTATGCTTTTGTCCCTACTATATGTTGTTTAATATTGCTACAAGTGTTTAAAACAACAAATTACAACAGACACCAAATCATAATATAACTCTTGTAAATAAATATAAATTATCAAAACAAATGTGTATTTCAACCTTAACCAGTATGCATGACTAAATTCAAGCTACATTATCAACCGAGCTATAAGTTTAAATTTTGACATTAACATCTTATTTCGACCCCTTTTCGACACACATCTTAACAAGAGCAACGAAGGATTTAAAAAGCCGCAAACGAGTTTGCAAAAAAGGAACAATAAGAATACACTACTGGTGAGATGAACAAAACTGGGTCACCTCACACTCAATTGTGATAAAAGATGATGCTCTAATTTTAAATACCAAGACATGCAGAAAGAAGAAACAATATTTGAGCAATTGGTAGAGGAGCATGTTAGTATAAGTTTATTTCTCATTAAGATATTTGAAGATGATGGCACGAGGGTGAATGTGAACCTCCATTCGCCAAAGGACAAATTGTAAGTCAAAATGGGGGTGGGGGCACCTCTTGTTACTTGCCTCAGAAAGGCACGCACTCACTAACATGTATTCCTATCAACACTAAAGTTAAGTAAATATCAATCTTCCTCCATTAAGAAGAAAGGAAGATACAATGGGTTCAGTATTCTAAAATCTTCCCCCAAAAGAGACTATTTGCCTCAAGAGAACAAAGGTGTTTATCAAGTCTCTCATACCCTATCCTCTTAATCAAATGACCAAAATGACTGTACATCTGAGGTTGGAGGTAGACCACCATTACGAGGTCTTGCAACAGATGACTTCCCTATGCCTTCCACAGAACCATTTACAAGCCATTCGTTTCTGCAGAGCAAGAAAGATCACAAGCTGTTAAACAAGTAAAAATAAATATAATATAAATTAATTAGTACAGGCTAAAATTTTCATTTCTAGTTCAACAAGTCAGCACTCAGCAGTTTAGGACGCTTTTGTTGATGGTATATTTCTAAAGCTATTTTTTAGGAAGGATGATCAAATTGACTACGACTAGGGTTCATCATCAAAGAACATGCTTATATATATATATAAAGTATGAAAGAACACCAACTGAAGATCCCATTCTTTTCATTTCATTTTCCAAATATATCAGCAAATGATCATACAGCTGCATCCACAAAACCATTTGGCTTATAACTTGCAACTAAATCTATTTTCACAAAATAAATATCATAAAAATGAACATTTGAAGTTGAATCCAACAATTTTTTTGGTCATATTTCATGCATCCAAAAACATCCGACATCTTCATGATTTTTGGTAATATTTTATTCATCCAAAGGTATCCTACATTCAATAACTTGGTGATGACACACAAAACAGTTTTGTAGTATATACCTAGCCAATCAGCTTTGATCACGAGACCGTACTTAGGCATATATCTTGTTTCCCTATCAATGTATTTTATTCCTACATTTTATTGTATAGTTAGTCAGAAAGAACGTGTTACCATTTACCAATACGCATGCATGAAATGAATACAAATTTGTTTAGTACTCATCCTTTTTGTGTTTGAATCTTGATAAATGATAACTAATTTTGCCTTTATAAGCCTGCTTTCTGTACGGAAGGATTGAATCCAAATCAATCAGTCAGTTCACAAATGTTCTAGGCAATATGCACTGCTCTGGATTAATGAGTTCAGACTCCTAAAATTACATTTTGAATGATGAAGTTCATCGTTTCAGCCTTTTACTAACCTATACTTCAGAAACAGCCAACAGATCACAATGGCATTAAACAATACCACATAAATACAAAAACATATACCTGACATTGAAATGTTTTTTAAACATGTCAAATTTAATATACCAATATTACATTCAAAATATCATGAGCACTGCTTGAAGAGATAACCAAGTGCATTTCTGTCATAGTTTCATAATTTGTTATGAATACATCATTGACGAATTTTTGCCACTGAAACAATTATTTCCTCACTAACATGCACATTATCAGTCAACATTTTGAGCTCTACAATTCATTCTGGGAAAACAAAATGAGGTTTCATTCATCTTTAGGTAACAGAACTTCATCAATTTAAAATGATAATCAATATACAGCAGGGATCAAATTAGCCATATAATAATATGAAAATTTCAAGCCAAAACAGTTATTTACTCACTTGGACCAACTGTTAGTAGGAGAAAATTCAAGCATATGGTTGCCAGCAGACACACTGGGACTCCCATACATCATTTCATTCTGAGGAGCACTCTCCTGAGCTTTAAGTCCACCAGACAGTGGTGGAAACAAAGCACTCTGTAACCAAGGATCATAACCATTTGAACCAGTAACAGAGGTGAAGGTCCCACCACTCTGACTGTTAGGAAGGAGAACATTTTGCGGAGAATGGGAACTGGAAATTATGTTATCATCTTTGTTAAAAGCAGAAGGCATAGTCTTCTTGGATGATGCAACCACAAAGTCATCCTTGTTAGGCTCATTCCTTTGTGAGGGTAAAAACCAGCTTCCTGGGCCACCAACCAAACCTAAACCTTCTTGACCAAGTGGCAAAGTACTCCACATCTGCCATGTTCCCTTCTCATTTGCAGCTGTATCATCCAAGGCAAGTGCATGCATATCCTGGGCTTGGCGAGTAATTGGAAACTGATTAGAACAGCTAATCTTTTCTCGGGACAATGGGGACTCAATTGGAGATGGCTTGTTGATGTCAGAACCAGCAGATGTGTTTTTTAAAGAATGAGGTTTTGCTATTTCCGTATCTGTCACAAAGCCACTTCCCAAGTCCAACTGAAAATTATCAAGTGACTCGGAAACAGGACCAAGCAAGGATATAGGATCAGGGATATAACAAGGGTCTTCAAAAAGCTCTTGCTCTTCATGTCTAAAGTCATGAGATGTATTTTCAACTGGAGAGAATAAGGGTTCAGTTGCAGGAGAAAAACATAAACTACTACAGGTTGATCCATTTGGATAGGTAGAAATGTTAAATGGTGATGGAAGACCAAAGTGAATTGGATTATTAAACGATTGTGTAACCGGTGACTGGCTAGATGATGGAGGGCTTTTGGCTTCTATTTGAATTTTGGAATTTGGTCTACATATTACATTTGAATTTGAGGATTGAGGAACAGATGAGGAACGAGTAAATAATTGCTGCCACGACTTTTTTGGTGCAGTCCATGGCTGTTGTTCTGGCAGAATCTGCAGGGAACAATCATCACGGTAATACAGTTTTCTTTATGGAAAAAGTGTTGAATTCAGCCTAAGATTATCATAGATAACAAGCAAGTAATACTAACTAGAGCATGTCATAATTTTCATAAATCTCAAAGACTGAAAGTATATAGTGTATAAAAAACCATGAAGTAATGAAAAGAAAGACAGGATATAACGCAAGTTTGTAAAATCCATTTGAGTTGAAAATTTTATCCTAAGAAACTAGTATTCCAACAAGCAATTTCAATCAAACTTCAAAACAGTATTATAAAAAGGCAAAGTAAAAGGGATACAGAGCACAATAACTTACAGAGTGATTCATATTCCTATCGTCCCCATTCACATTGGATTTAGCAGTTGGACGATCAGGGGGACATATATCTCTCCTGCTGGTAGTAGAAGGAACATGATCCACAGAACTGTTAAATTTGTTTTCTTTCACCACTGTGCTAGGAACGTTAATACTCGTACCAAAACCAAATGCTTTTGAAGAAGACAAAATTGTACCACGCATGCGGTCAAGATACCTTGTTCCAGTACTTCCTCGGCTATAACTGTTTGCAGCAACGTTTTTACTATGCGGATTTTCTGTACTCTGTCCCTTGCTATTCTCTAAACCAGATTTCGGATGCTCTCTACGATCACTTTCACTCTTTTTATCAAAGTCCCTCTTCCGTTCACTTTCCTTGCCAGATCTTCTATCCAGTTCTTCCACATCAGAGTTGCTCTTACTAGACCCCTTATCTTTCTCTTTTCGTTTTTCTTGACGCTTCCTTTCAGCTTCCTTCCTACTGTCTTTCTCCTTACTAGGATGTGATAATTTGCTGCAATCTTTTTCAGCTTCCATTTTCTCATCTCTCAGCCTCCTACGCTCCTCCACTAGCCTTGCAACTTCCTCCCTCTGCTTTCTCTCTTCCTCCTCCAAAAGTTCTTTTTCTAGCCTAGCCTGTCTTTTCTCCTCAGCTTTCCTGCGTGCTCTTTCCCCTTTACTTTCATTGAGGCATGCCCCATTCTCACCCCGTTTTGCTAAGAGTGCCCTATGTTCAGCATCAGACGAACATTCTTCCCTTGAACTAACTCTAAAAGCCTTTCTCCAAAGCCATCTAATGCTCAAGAAAAAATATCTCAAAAGCTTGCAAACAGAAAACATAATACCAGAATATGACCTTTCTGTCAAGCAATGCTCGTCACCTTCTAATAGACTGACATTCCCATTTGTCCTCCAGTTGCTAGGATTACCTAGAATAGACCCACCAACCCAATTGCTGTTTTCCAACCAATCCTGACTGCACATCCAGCCATTTTCAGACCAAGCCTTGCTATTTAATATCTTACCACTTTTTCCAACCAAGTCCTTAACTATACCAGAATTTGAAATCCTCAACCCTGGCAGCACAGGCAAGTCCAAAACTGGTCTCTTCGAAACATGCCCACAGTACGAACACATAAACCGACCCCCACCAGGGTTCTGATCCCTATACGGATTCAAGCAGTTGCGACACCGCCTTGTAGCTGTCTTCCTTAGCTTCTGCATTTCAATGGCCTCAAATCTCTTCCTCTCCCTAAGCCGAGCATTCCTCCGCAAACGCCATGCTGACAACCAAGGCATCAAAATCTCATACCAAAAGAGAGTAACCAACAAAACAAATACACAAGCCAGACGAGGCGAAGTGATCTCAAACCGAAACGCCGGCGGTAGAAGCTGAGAAAGCGCCCAGAGACCAATTAACGGAATAACCAACCAAGGTAGCATTGTAGCAACCCGGCGAGACCACTTCTGAATCACACACAGTATACACATTATCCTCTAACCCGCGCCTATATTCCCCTTCTCGAATCAAACCCTAATATACCCTCAACAAAAATCAATGCTTTGAAGAAAACCCTAACCCTATCTATACTTCCCCCTCCTCCAAATCAATATCCAACAACAGAGTTAGACGCAGAAACCTCAGAACCCTAACATTTCAAACCCAAAAACACAAAAGAAAATTTCAGAATCCTTAACAGAAAAAAAGAGTGGAGGAAAAAAAAACCCTATGGTTGCAGCTACGGAACTACAAGTATGGCGATTTTGACATCAATGGAAAGGGAAATGGAAACGGAATCGAAAACTTACAGATTCAATCTCCATTTGGGTAAGAAGCATCAAAACGGGTTCGGAGCTGACTCGACTCGTTCAACTCGGGTCGGTGCCTGTGTACTGGGTGTGAAGAAAAAGAGAAAAACTATGCGAAATGAGATAAGAAGAGAGAGAGATAACAGAAAGAAGAAGAATGGAAAAAAATTTAAATTAAACTAAAATTAAAATGCAAAAACAACAAACGGAGAAGGCTATGTTAGTGAACCGGATATGTGGAATACATTGAACCGGTGACGGTGAACCGAACCGGGTCTTGTTCTCGTCACTGTGCTTAACTAATGATAAGCCTTGAAGTGAATGCGAAAGGCAATGACCTAGCTTACCTATTTCCTCAACGTGTTTCGTTTTCGCTTGTGTATGGATAAATATTTTTTTGTTTTTTATTATTTATAATTTCTTCATTTCTGGTATAGTATTCATCGGTTGGACAAAAATAAAGAAGGTAATAAAAATGGAAATTTTGTAATATTTTCCTACTTAGTTTAAAGTTACAGAAAAGGATTAAAATCAACTTTCACGTTTGGGAGATTTAAAAGAAAGACAATATTATGTTTGATAAAATAACTTTTATTAGTTAAAATACTCATTTCCTACAGAAATTTTTATATTAAATACTTATAATATTTAATTTTAATCTGTTTATCCTGCGTGATTAACTTTATTTAATTAACTTAAATTTTTTTAACAAAAGATACGTATTAATATTATTAAATTTTTTAGATCTACATGTTATCAAACACCTTAATAAATGTTGAATAGACTTTGTATATCATATCTAAAAAAAGAATCATTAATTTTTTTTTTTAGATTTGTAACGGATTAAAGTACTTTTTATATTTTAAATTTATTTTTAATAAAATATTAATATTTAAATAATTAATTAGATTTTTAATTTGAATTGATTATATGAAATTTTTTATTAAAATTGATATTATTTATAATAATTTAATATATTTAAATAATAATATAATAATTTTTTTGTTTTAACAAAGTGATAAACATTATGAATATTTGGTTGTTTGACCATTATCAGTCATAACATTGATTGTATTAACAACTATATATTAGAGCTTATGATTAAATAATATTTTTTAGTTATGGTACGATTTAATTATTCTGGTAATTAGACCTATGTCAATGTAACAGATAACATATTCTAATTTATTATGATTCAAAATTAGAAAAATATAGGTGTATGAAGCTACTTTTTAAATAAGTCATCCATTTTATTTTATTTTTTGGTTAAAAAACACAACTTAATGCAGATGTTAAAACAATTTAAGTACATATTTATTTTATATGATAAAAAATATTATACTAAATAATATATTCAAATTACATGACATGTCTTTATATGCAAGTAAAATTCTATGTTTAAATTAATTTTATTTGATAGTTAAATATAATTAATATTACAAATTTTTAAAAGAAAAAAAGTGATAAGAAGGTAAGAAGCGACATAAAAATAATTTATAATTTTATATAATAATGTTAGATAATGTATCTATATAATATATACATATGCAAATTAAAATTTTATCTTAATTAAAATAATTGTTTCAATTGTATTAATTATCTCGACTATTATAACTACCTTACATCTTATTCAAGAAATTAAATTTTCAAATTTAAAAATTAAAAATGCTATACAAAATTATGGTTGGATAGTAAAAATATTATAAATGACTTGTAGCATCGGACATAATGGTACTAGAAGTATCTTTAGCATCGTCAAAACCAATAATGCTCATCAATTATTTGAAGACACGATAATCAATTTCCTTAGAGCTTGAATTATTCTCTTGAGAGCAGCACTTGTTCACCATGGAAGCTAAGGTGTTGCTTACTTTGTCCATTTCTTATTTTTATTTTGGGTTTAATTATTATTTTTTCTCTGAAAAAACATTTTAAAAATAAGTTATTAAAATTGTTTTTATTAGAATTTAGTTTTGATATTTTTCAAATATAAAAATTTAATTCTTTCATCAATTATAATATATTAAATGATGAGCTAGATAATAAAAAAATTTAACTTATCATTATATTTAATTATTTTTAATATTTTATTATTAAAATATTAAAATTTGTAAAAAGGTTTTTAATTTATATTTCCTATGTATAAGTGATGGCTTGATGCTAATTTAGCATGTGATAGTTAATTACTCTGTTGTATTATACTTTGTATTGTGTATATATTTATCCTTGCAAATATATACATAGTTTAGCCATAAAGTATAATTATGTCTCTAATTTTTTTTATTTTTTATTAATCTGAATTTGATTCATTTCGCTCATCTGAATATGATAGATAAATCTATTACCAGTATTTATATATATATATATATAAAGATTTGAGCCACTAATTCTTGCCTTGAGTTTGGTTTCAGTCTACTATATAATTATATTAATTACCTTGCATGTATTAAATACCATTTGATACTTTCTTTTGATTCCATGCACTGATGTTATATTATTATTTACTAAGTGTTAACCATAACCAGTTTGTTTTAAACTTTGCAAATACATTTAAGTGGTTGATGAATTGGAATGGATGCTCAAAAGGCAAAATGTTGGTGCTTAGCAGTTATAATCAAAATCCTTGTTTTGCTGTTGGGGCAATGGAGTAACTGTTTTTTTTTTTTCCCTCTAACTTGTAATTATGTCAATTCTTATGAGAAAAATCATCAATAACTAGGTTTGTAATAACATGTATATTCTCTGGAGAGTTCTCTCCCCGTTGGTTATGTACAAAAATTAGTGAATGTTGTGATTTGTGAACTATTGTTACGGATCCAAGATGGACCTTACTTTCAAGTCAAAGATTGGGATAAAATAATTGAATCTGTATCATAGAGTACTGCTGTGGAGTTTTGGTTTTACAAAACTTCATCTGAGTAGAAATATTGGCAACCATGTTTTGAGATACTTTTTTCTAAATGCACTTTTTATTATTATCGAAATTTTTTATGAGACCCACTAAATAAAGACCCAGACGCATTGAATGTGAAATGAGGCTCACACCATTCAGTGGACCAGCTTGAATTTTACTTAATAATAAAGCAAGTTTTACAAAGTGTATCAAAATGTGAAACTGATGATTGAACTACTTACTAGTTATGAAATGCTTAAAAAAAGAATTCTAGTGGTAATACACTACACCACATTTTCTTTTTAATATCTTTGTTGAATAAAATCTCATCCTAATTCTGCTAAATGACAGAAGTCGACTCCATTAGGGGACCAATATTAAACTTAAAACTATAGCTTTGCAAATGTAATTATACAACTTGCGGAATTTTGATTTTTCACTCAATTATCTAGAACAATTTATATTTATAGTTTGTTTCCTGTATTGACTCTTGGTTCATCTAAAGAAAATGAAGGTAAAATAAATCCCCTAAACATAAATGGTCAAGATTTATTTTCTCTTGATCTAACTATGGCCTCGATTGTTGAACTGATATCCGCATCAATGTTGGAATAACCAAATTTATTCTTATTTAGATATATATACAAAACTTAGATCAACATCTTTGTACCTTTACCATCAAGTTCTCAAATCAAATATGTGAACTTTTTTGTCAACATTATAAACATATTACAGAATTTTAAAAATATTCACCTATCATTATTTTGAGACCCTAATTACAAAAAAATATAAAGAACTTAGTCTAATTTAATCAAACTTAAATTACCTCCTATCATTAAGTAATCACATCATTTGAATTAACAAAATTACTTAAAAATTATTGATTATTCAGCATAACCTCAATTAAATGGTTAATGTTAACACACTTATTGGTCAATAAAAGTCAAAAAGTAATATATGATTTCAGATTTAAATTTCACCCAATTAAATTTCAGAATCCCCTTTTAAATAAAATAAAATGCAAAACAGAACAGCTCCAAAATGAACTCAAAAGACAATTGGTATTTAAACAGAGCTTTTTAAGAGAAACAAACAGACATTACCAAGCAGTTTGATATAGACAGGGAAAGCAGAAATTTTGGGGGGTTCTTAAGTAAGCTATGCTATCAAATAGCACAGTTACTGCACGCTGCTCATGCTAATTGCTACCTCTCAAGCTTCAAAATGCAAATGTTAGTTCAATACATGAGAGATGCGATATAAAGCAACTAAGTATAAAGAATGATCATGAGGGTGGAATAAAAAAAACCCAAATTGGTCAAATTTTCAATATAGGTACACAAGGATTGAGGTGTCCATAAAGATAAGAGGAAACTGATCAACCCACATTATTCTATGACTACTGCTAAGTTAAGCACTTGACCAAGATAATGAAAAAAGTAGCACAGCATACAACCAAGTGATGTAATACAGATCATGACGTTTGCTGTGATTTGGCCTCAAACTAGGCAGTATGAGAAGGATGTTGCTCTTCCTGCATCACTTCATGTTGGAGTTGGGGCGGTTGTTCTCCTTGCCAGGTCCAAACTATGTCTTTAAGTGCTGGTCTGATGTCCTGTTTAAGAAGCTTCTGGTACTCCACGGTGTCCCCATTGGCCTTTTTTAATTCCACCAGATGGAATAATGGGGTAATCTCAAAAATCTCAGCATCAATACCGACAGTCCCTTTCCTACCTTCCTTGGAACCTTCCAACTTGAACAAACCCCCATCTTTCTTCTTTACTTTCAAGCGAAGAGTCTTAGAAATCTCTTCCAACTTAGATATTATACTTGAGGCAGGCTTGTTCGACACAAATCGCATCTCTTTCTTAAGAATGGTGTCCTCAAACAAACCGGATAAATCAAAACCAGTTGAGAAGGAGATGATATCAAAAGCATTTAAATTACACAGCTTTGCTTTTTCTTGCTTTGTTTCTGCAATAGGACCACCATTCTCGCATGCTTCAAATACTCCATCAGCAACTGGAGGTGTTAGTTCTTGGTTTTCTGTCTCAATAATAATCGGCTTCTCTAACCCCTTTCTAAACCAAGAACTTTCCATAATCTTGGCCATTGATATTCTGGTCTTCGGGTTTGGATCCAATATTTTGGACAATAACCGGCGAACATCTGGTGCAAACCACTTAGGAAATTTGAATTCTCCTCTACCAATTTTCTTGTACATCTCCATCAGATTCGAATCATGGAATGGAAGATGACCAGCCAATAGAACATACAAGATTACCCCACAAGACCATATATCAGCTTTGATCCCATCATAACCCTTTCTGCTTATCACTTCTGGAGAAACATAGGCAGGGGTACCACATGTAGTATGCAGTAATCCATCTTGGCACTTGGATTCAGCGAGGGCGCTCAACCCAAAATCTGAAACCTTCAGATTCTCATTCTCATCCAACAGTAGATTTTCGGGTTTTAAATCCCGATGGCACACACCCCTGCTATGGCAGTAGTCAACTGCACTGATCAGTTGCTGAAAATATCTCCTAGCAACATCCATCTTGAGCTTTCCTTTTGCTACCTTGTTGAAGAGCTCACCACCTTTTACATACTCCATGACAAAGTAAATTTTGGTTTTACTGGCCATTACCTCATAAAGCTCAACCACGTATGGATGTCTAACTAATCTCATCACTGAAATTTCACGCTTAATCTGATCCATCATCCCAACTTTCAAAGCTTTTTCTTTATCAACTACCTTAATGGCCACACTCATGCCAGTTACAAGGTTCCTAGCATGGTAGACCTTTGCAAAGGTTCCTTGGCCTAATAATCTCCCTAGTTCATATCTTTGCATAAGCACACTTCCCTTCTGTTCCATTAATGATAACACTTTTGCACACAACCAATGCTACTATCAATAGTATATAATATACTATGTATATAATATGTACAGGTACTTACTAGAAGGTAGTAAACTATTTCTTATATTTCCAGCCACCTCAGGAACATAAGCATGAAAAAGATATTGGCAGCAGACTAAACATCCAATATAATTGCGGATTAACAAGGCTAGCTCAGATGGAGCTACAACCTCATTGACCTCATGGGAGGAACTCTGTACTTTCAAACACATCTTTCTGCATTCCCTGGTTTTGGTAAGGACACTAAAGAATACTGAAGAAGAAGACCTTAAGAATTTGTGGAATAGAAAAGGAATAAAGCAGCACCCAGTTATTTTCAACTGCCCAAAAGCCAAACACCTAGTGAAAGGCACACCTGGAAAAAAGAAAAAAAAAATTAGTAGGCAGACTTAAACAAATCCAATCCAGTTAAAAAAATAATATATAAAAGAAACTATTAATATATCTCTGATGATAGGTAAATTTTAACCTTTTCTATCAATATTTATAACTTCTTTCAAACCTTTAACAATCTGGACGTATGCGCAACAGACCAGAAAAAGGAGTCCAGAAATCAAATCCCAAAACAAAACAGTAAGAGGTAACTAATCATAAAATTACAGGATTCTTTTTTGAGGATGTATTTAGCCAAAGCCAATTGATTACTTACAGTTTCCTCTATTATTATAGTTAACTATTTAGTTCTAGAGATATTAGGAATAAGTGATTCAAGATAGACAAGGGAAACAGGTTTGAACAACTACAGAACTATATGCCTATATGGCGCCAAAACTAAGAATAAATGCACTTGAGGTGACCATATGCTTGATCAAAGCCATCAAGTCAAATCAACTAACCAATAAGCTGGTTAGATAAACAAGAAGAGCTTATTATTGTAACTAAAACAAGACACGTGTAACCTGCAAGACCGTCACTCCATTAAGATGCAATTACCAGTGATTACTTCTTACCAAATCCAGCTAGACAAACAAATAAAACAGTGCTCACACATTTATGTGGATTTTCTCAAAGTGGGAGAATTTGGTAGAGCTTCAGAAGGAAAGGAAACACTACCAGCTTCTATATACACGTGTTTCCACTTTCCATCATATCATAACCGAACTTTCATTATCTTCCACTCTGTCTACCTAATTTCATGTTTGTTTCACATGTCGATAGTCCTTGCCACAACATGTTATGAAGGGTAGTGAAAAATGATGAAGAAGTAGAGAAATTTTTCAACCATGCTTTATGACTAGCGATACAATCATCACAATTGTGAGCAACACCATAATACAACAAATTAATCCAAGAAAATAAGCAAAGTAGCAGCAAAAACAAGAAGGAAAAACCTTGTACGAGAAAGGATCAGAGAACCTAGGAAGTTCCCATCAATAGAAATATACTAAAATCAATAATAATAATAATAAGCTTCAAAAGAAGCAGAAAGAAAAAACACAGTAATAACAAATAAACCACTACCCCATCAAATAAGATCACAAAGGGGTGTGAAGAGAGAGAGCAAAAGCTTGAAACTTTGTGAGAAAATGAACAAAATAGAGAGAAATAATTAAAAACGGCATTGATATTATCTCAAACTTGAACACAAACAAGTAAAGTTTCAAACTTTCAAACAGCAAGAAGAGTTTGGATTTTCTCTTTCTTTGCGAAAAGAAAAAAGTCAGAGAAATTATGCAGAAGAAAAACTGGAAAGGTATCTCAATTCACCTGTGACGAGGTTTGGGAATTGTTGTTTGTGTCAGCGGCTGCAAATTGCAATGAAGATGGCCAAGAGGAAGGAACAACGAATACGAAAGAAGAGAGAGAGTGAGTGCGTTGTCGTTTTAACGTTAGAGGAGAAATTTGGGGAAACTCGAATGCGGATTCCACAGCTTATATAACTAATTTTTGTCTCTTTCCACTGGCCACCCTGATTGTTGCATTTTTATTTTAGTTTGTTAGTAAGTTGTAATTTTAAATTTGTTTTAAAAAAGTGTAAATATATTAAAACTCGGATTATATTTTTAATATATGATATTTTTTAAATATAAAATTTGTTAAAAAATTACAGAAATAGACTAAAAAATTATCAATAACAAACTCATAACTTTTTGAATAATATATTTTAAAAAATTACAGAAATAGAACTCAAAAACCTAAAACTCATGGTATTAATATCATTAATTTATTTTTAAGTAATATATTTTAAAAATTCATAACTTAAATCTGTTATAATATTCTCAAATAACTTATTTTAAAAAAACTGACTATTCTTTTCTTATTATTAGTGAGTTTTTTATACAGTGCTCTAGTATCATTAAATTAAAATAGTTTTTAAAATAAAACTTAAGATATATTATATAATTATTTTTAAATTTTATGAATTAAAAAATTGTTAATAAATAATTTTATTATAAATAAAATAAATTTTTAAAATATTTAATGCATAAAAATTGCATATCATGAAAAAAAAAATTAAAACGTTCTCACAAATAATTTTTAAAAGTAATCTTAAAGAATTTTAACTCCTTTTACCATACTTTTTTTTTACCCAGACAATTCTTTAAATTTAAGTTTAACTGTTAACCTAAAAAAAAAAAAAAACTCAATAATGTACAAATGTAATTTAAACCGAATCTCTAATTCAGATGTCTATGCAGCATAAAATCAAAAGTTAACCATATAAAGTCGTGCAGTTAATTCAAATTAATCATTCAAAATTAGCTTTGATATAACGCAATGTAAGTGTTAAATGTCATATTTAAGCTCTATCATATTTAGTAAGAATAACAAGTTAAATTTGGATAAAATATTTCAATAGACTAACATTTTAAGAAAAGATACATTCTCAAAGCAGTAATTTTAATATTTGTTTTCATTCTCTATTAATATTTAGATATTTATATCCAGCTTCACTATTCACATTTCAAATGAAATAAAATTTTCTTTAAATGTATAAAAAATTCACAAATATCTTTTATATCTTAATTATAGAACATAACATAAAATATTTATTTTAATTTATCAGGACCAGCAGCTAAGAGCTTTTATTGTTTATCTAATCAAAATCAATGGTGAAAAATAAGATTAATTTATTAAAGACTGGACTTGCATCCATTTTTCTAATTTTTTGCTGGAAAAATATTTGTACTAAGACTCACACCATTGTTTATCAAGAAATTATCTCCTTATAATGAGTAATTTTTGCAGATACTTGTTGAATTTCAATTCAATTAACAACCCTTTGTAACTCAGGTTTTGAAACTAAGTTTTTAAATTCAACATTGTTATACTTTTTTATGTTACTTGAAGGACAAGGTCATACCCAACTTAAATAATTTAAATTCGATAAATCATACTATAAACACATTAAATATTATCATTATTATTATTCCAAAACGAGGGCAGGCCAAATTTGATAATCTATTAATATTTGAGATTTTCTAAATCCTACTTACGAAAAATATCAAAGAATCTTTAATGAGTATCTACCTATGATCAAAATATTTTATGAATTTTACTAATAAGTGTCTCAAAAATATTGACTAAAAAAATTAAATGTATTTTATTAAAATTTTATAATTAATTAAAAATAAATATTAAATATTTTTTAAATATTTATAGTCCATAGAATTGAAAGATAAAATGTTTTATAGAAAAACACGGCATTTAATTTTATTTATATGCCTTTACGGTGATTTTCAACACAGTTTTTTTTTAATTCATTAATTAGTATCTTTAAGATACTTAATAACAAAAGCTCGTGTTTTTTTTTTTATATATTTATCTAATAAATATTATTATTAATTTTTTATTTTCTTATTCAATCAACTCAAAACATTTGTTAGCATCTGCTATATTATTCCATTGTTAAATATTTACGTGCTAATAGACAGTAGATATCAAATTACTGTGATTCTTTCACTTATTTGACAATATGTCAGTAAAATTAAAGGCAAATAAGTATTATAATTTTTAACATATCTTTTCCTTAAGGATTTCACAGAATTTTTTTATGTAAATTTTTCTTTAAAATAAATATATATTGACCTTTAATTTAATTAAAGCATGGTGATCTTCGCTCACTAAATAATTTAAAGTAATATACCTTTGTCTTCTCTTCTCATTTTGAATAGTTTTAATTTAAATCATTATTGAACGAATAACATCATAAACTATTGAATCCAAACAAGTTTCAAACAGTTTTTTTTTAAAGAAAATCCAGGGTTCTGAAAACATTTTTGTAAAAAAATAATGTTTTCATTTGAACAATTTACAAAATATGTTTGACTTGTTCAATTGTTTACGTAAATTATGTTCAAATTACACATTTTGCAACTAATGAGTGGTCGATTTATACAGTATATGTCTCTTTTTTAATAACTAAGATATTGAATTCGACTTTTGTGTGTGACTTTTTTTTTACTAAAAGTATTAATTTTACTACATGCCTTATATTTTTTATTTAAGACAAAAATATATTTCATAAAATATGTTCGTAGTGTATATTTTCTACACAATTTAAACGAACACTTATTTAATGATTTTATATGTATAAAAAAACATAAAATAAATTTAATCATAAAACTTATTAAAAATATTTTAATAGAAAATTATTAAAATAAAAAACATGTATTATGCACAATTCCTTCCAAATATTTTCCTAAACTTAAAAATTAACGGTTTTAAAAAATTCAAAAGTAAGGAGAGGTTGAAAAGATGATGGTTAATATGAATCTCTTAATTAGATTATGGATGAACAACCAAGCTGTTGTTGCCTATTTGCTCTTCAAACTATATAAAATTGATGCAAGTGGAGCAATTTAACAATCATCAAATACAGTATTATAGTATTATCTGAAGTAATCTACTAAGATAAAAATAGGTCCATTAGGGACAAACTAATCACCTAATTTGCTAACTTAATACCGTGTTACGTCTATCAAACCACCATTAATTATTAATTTTCACGTAAAACAAAAACAAATTTTTTTAAAAAATGTAAAAAAATTAAGAGGATATCATAGGCTTGGACTTGAATGGGACTATGAAATATGAATCGTGAAATGAACGATGAAACTTCACAGTATTGTGATTCACGAAAAGTAACCAATCACGATGCGACACGTTGCACATGAAGCTTCGTCCCAGCTGAATAATGATGGTGATGCAGACGCAGTTATGCAGGTGCATCGTTCTCTAGTTACGTCACTGAGATTACGTTGTGACCACACACGTTTCAAGTAGTGATTGGTGACAATGCCACGCAGTGACACGTAAGTCGCTGTCTATTAAAGTGTGACCCACGCATATCATTCAAATTAATTAATATATAATTTTTTCGGTACAAAAGTTTTCGTCTTTTTTTGGTACACTAACTAATTAGTATTTGACAGTACAAATTATTCTTTATGCAGTATAAAATTATTTCTATTATAATTATTTTCCTTTATCTAATATAATTTTAAACTTCAAATTTTTGTGTTTTAAAATTACAAAAGATGTTGTTTCTTTAAAATATTTTGATTTAAAAAGATAAAGTTTTAATAATAAAACTTTGAAGAAATTATTTACAAGAGATAAGCCCTGACTTCATCTCTTATATTATATATTGAAGTATTTATCGGTAACATTTTTACAATACTTTCCTTTTAGTACAGTTATATATCTTTCTCATTTTATAATATGTATTTTATATATTTTTATAATAAATTACAACAATGTTTTCTTCTTTAGTTATTTTAATTAATGCTTAGATTTATTTAATCAGTCTTAAATATTATATTTATAATTTTTTATTAAAATAATATTTTATTATTATTTAATTTGTAAAAATAATATATTTAAATAAAATTTCAATTTTTTATGTATATTTATAATATTCGGGCTGCTTGCTTATTTGTTTTGAAAGAAATAAATTAAATTAAAGACACGGCCATTTCAACGAATTTCGAGTTTGAAAATAAATTGTCAAAGAATTATGGTTTGCCTTTTGTTTGAAATTTTATGGTTTGTTTGAAATGGACTGAAATAAGGAGGAATAAATAAAAAAAAATTATGTAAATAGATAAAATAGAGTGAAAATAATGTATCATTTAAATGACTACAATTAAAAAGAAATAAGTGAAAAAATAAAAAATAAAATACTTTCTATAATGATTTTTAAAAAATTAAATTTTTATTGTATATTTTTTATTTGAATATAAAATTATTTTGATTTGTAAAATAATAATTTTAAAAAAAATAATATAATAGCCTCAGAAGCAAGGAAAATTTTCAACGTAGAAACTACTGAAATTATATCATTTTAATGTTGTATTTCACCCATGTCAAATTAAGAAAATGTACGAAAGTAATACCTTACATGATCCTTTATAATTTCAATCCTTTTTATTTCTTTAAAAATAAACAAATTAATAATAAATTTGTCGAATACAAAAACAATTTAACGGTGAATATTGAATTTGACTTTTTTTATATTTAAAATTTTATACATTTTTCTTTGAGTTTTTCTTATTATAACATCTCTTGTTATATTTGTTATTTATTTTTTATAACAGACGAATATTCGAACGTGAAATGATCATAGTAAAATAATATAATTGAAATAAATAATCAAAATCACATTCAATTAAAATGATTGTTTTTATGTATATATGATTGGATTACCAAAATTAACGATTGATAGACATAGAAAAACAAAATATCAGATGAAGAGGATCGTATCGTGAATGTTACGAATATATTTGTTTTATATATTGTAATTATCTGTATGCTGTAGAATACCCCACCTCGTTCATGGAGGATATATTTAATTTCCTTAATAAGAACAACATCGCAGAGCTTATCCCTTCACATCAAGAATATT